CCCCCCCCAGCACCTCTCCTCTACAGCATCCATCAGTCTGTTCTCCATACCTTTAAGCCCCAATAGGTTATTGTTGGAGGCAGGACTAGTGCCTCAAGGCCTCCTTAATAAGGTAAGAGGCCTCGAACTATCTGTGACTGATTTTTTCTTTTTTTAGAAGACAGGCTATAGTAGTATCACCGGAGAGTCTAGGATTGCTTGTTGTTGGAGGGCTGTGTTGCCTCAGGGCGCTCAAGGCCCTTGGTGTGAGTTGCCCCTAGAAAGGCAGTGTCTCTGTGCCTCATTTGTGTGTGTGTGTGGGGGGGGTGGAACGTTGGGTCAACAGACAAGAGTGGCTAAGTGCCCTTGGGGTGCATAAGAAACACCTGGTGTGCTTGTTGCAGGCCACTGCCACCCCCCATTCTGACTGTAGTCTGGGGTGAGGCTCAGGAATCTGTATTAGCAAAACTCTGGTTGATTCTCATACTGAGTATCGAGAGACATTTTTTTCTCATTCAGGGATCCTAATCAGGATACCAGTTACGTTTAATTGGCCCCTCCGTAGTCCTCTTGGCTATTACAGTTGGGATGAGTCGGTGCTATCTGGGCATTCCATAAAATGTATATGAGGGAGACATGAGGGAATTGCGTGGATCCAGCTGATAATTTTCTTACCTCCCTGGTCATGCTGTCAGGTGACCTCCAGGTGTGGGAATTTGCATCAACAGCATGATTGTTCTTGGCTCCAGACCAGATTTATTTGAACTTGTCCCACGCTCTTTGTAATCTTTGTCTTGTCTTTGTTTGATCCTTGGCAACCTTTGGGTCCATAGGGTTTAAGGTGGTGGACCTTAGGGTGAGAGGGATTTTCTTTTGTTATCCCAGATCACAGCTAAAGCTAATTTTATTTGGAAACGTTAAGGCTGAACTCCTGAATGGGTTATTGGTTGGGTTGAATCAGATGGAACTTGTATCCTCAAATGCAATTCAGGACTAGCCTTGAATGCTTGCTTGCTGGGTGGATGTCTTGTGCTGGTTTCAGCCCATCGATAACCAGGGTTGTGGCTGGACTGGTTCTTATGATTGCAATACACTCAGCAATACCTTCAGGAAACTTAGGAAAGAAAAAAGGTTTGGTAAGTCACACGTCCTGGAAAGCACAAGGTTGATTGCTCCATATCTCATTGAACAACTGGAACCACACAGAGTTGGCAGGTGAGGAAGAGAGGGAGTGGGGTATGGGCCTGGGGTGTCTGCTTTTATTGGGGTGGAGGGCGGGGGCCTAGTGTTTTTCAGACTTACTCTACTGGTGAATTTAAACTTAAAAGCCCCACCCCAGCCTGGCTCTTTATCTATTTGTGTGGCTGGCAATGTGTTTATTGGAGATAGCCATCTTTGAAATGGATGCCTCAGTAATCAGAGCTTAAGTCAGGCACTCACATTACAAAAAAGAAGAAACCAACTCTCAGGGCTTGCTATACAATCCACCCTGATGCCGAGGCCTCAGTCAGTGTTGAGGACATTGACTGCCTGGGTAGCTGATATGCCAAAAGTCAGGGGTGGCTTTTAAGTTTAACCCAGAAAGTAAACATCTAAATAGTATTATAGTAGCACTCCTATCCTAATTATACAGGTAATAGCCTGAAGTGCAGTCCATAGCCATTGCTTAAGCTTGAAGGGTCCTTCCATGAAACCAGGTCAGTGACCTAGGGGCCTTAGGAATCTGTTCATTGGTTTTGGTAATATTGTGAAATATTTTAACATCTTGGGCCATCTGGTGTGAGTGGGTTTGGACCTGTCTTTAGTTGGCGGATTGCTCCATATCTCATCGGACCAGTCTCTGAGTCCCGAGAATAGGTCTCAGTTTAAGGGTTGTGTCTCATTTGATACAGGTGGGCCCCCAAAGTTAGGACTACATGGTGTAAGTATTATTTAATAAGAGGCATTTCTATGGAAGCAAAAGGAAAACAGTGGTTAATGGTTGGAGCAGATTGTAAACCCAGTCAGAGTCCTGAGGATGGCCAGTAGAGATGATTTCTACACATCAGGCTCGAAGCGTTTTCACATGGAGTGAGGGCAGGCAGTGGCAGACTGACACGTGGTTCTTAATGGCCCACAAAATAACAGCCACCAAATGCTGTAGTGGTGATTTCTCTGAAGTCTATATCACGTTGTCCCGCTTCAGCTTGCATGGCATCAGGAAAAGGGCAGTTTTAGTTCTCAGTGATTCCAGGTCAGAAGCATGGGAGAGAAATCGGAAACATTAGTTTGAAGAGTTGTAGCCAGATTTTGGAGGAAGTGAGAAGACTTCAGTGTGCAAAGACTAGAATCTGATATCCACAAGGATGTATTATAGTTTTCCACTGGAACACAATTTTTCTCTCTACAATCACCCCTACTTTTATCAGAGATAAAGTAAGACTAATTTGTTTGCAAAATAAGTCTTGGTCTGCAGCCTGATCACAGATCTGACCTTCTGCTCTGGAAAAAAGTTGTTTTCCCCTAACCCAACTGATTCTTCTTGATTTTTACATTTTTATTTCCTTATGTTGCAGTGTCACTCATAGGTACTGGCACATATTTCACGGTAACCTGTGGACTAATGGGCTAATGTATTTGTTTTTACTCCTACCCTTTTTCTTATTTTTGTGGTTTAAATCTGGAATAGCTAGTATATCATAAAATGAGTACCCATCTGTCCTGATATCTGTACCTGTGATGTGAAATCCAGTGTTTAAACTTGCTGAAAATGGAAGTCTTTGACTATGTTGAACTCAATTTAAACTTATTAAAATGAGAATTGTTTCATAACTCAGTGTAGGTGGATCTTAATCTACTTTATTTTGATAGTGTCCCTGTGTATAGTGCATTACTCATAAGCTCAAATACTGATTAAATGAAATGATTGCAACATAATATTTGCACCCCATTTTAAACTTCTTTGTGGAGCCCCTGGTCCCTAGCACGGTTTGTGGCAATAAGTGTTTGGAATGTTCTCATTTGTTCTTCACATGCGATAGGAAGGCAGTGTGGTGTAGTAGTTAAGAATGTGGACTTAAGAGCAGATTGCCAGGGATCTGCTCCGGGACCTGCCACACAGTGTATAGCCTTGGGAAGGTCATTTAACCTCTCTGTGTCTCAGTTTCTTTCCTAGGGACCCAGTGATACGTGCCTGGTGGGAGCATTGTGAGGATATATGTGAATACTTAGGATGGCGTCATGCCTAATATTGGCTAATACCCTGTTTCATAGATTAGGGAGGAGGGGGTTATCCCAAGGACTCCTTGGGAGTGCAGAGGGGGCAAAATACCCCCCCAAACAGCAACACACCATTCTAAGGCACAGCGCAGGGCAGGAAGCCTTGTTCACACTGGGTCAGAGATAGGTTAGTATGCACATGTGGTGCTCATTCACTCACAGAGTGCCTCCTTAAATGTTTGAGCCTCTGCTCCTCTGTAAGCTATTTCAGTACAGTGACTGTAGTGTTAAAAACAGTTTGTGTACATGATGCCTGCCATTAATTGAGAGCTTGCTATGCACCAACTACTATGCTAGTCCTTTGCATACATCTCGTTTTAGTCTTAGAACAGCTGGATGAGCAAGGTAACCTGCTTTACAATAATTTGCTCTTGGTCACAGCTTGTAAATGATGTCATCAGGGTGCAGTTAGGTTGCCTGTAGCAGTGCAGCAAACAATAATATAAAAGACACTAAATAAGTGTCTACCAAATAAGAGGATAAATGGGACATGAGCTTAAATAAGACATAATCCCTGTCCTCAAGGAATTTAGAAGTGAGAAGAGTAAAGCAGTGCTCAGGGTGCAGGGCTAAATGAGTTATGGTAGCGAGGGAGTCCCCAGGAGAGGCACCTGCGCCAAACCAGTGGGGAGGAGCAGTGGTACCCTTTCTTGAGGAGGTGGAGTTTGAGCCAAAGACTGAAGGGTGAATTGGAATTGGCCAAATGAAGATGTGGAATGCATTCCAGAAAGAGGAAAGAGAAGGCAGTTTGATGTATCTAGACAGAAGATGTGAGAGCGACAAGGGCTAAAGTGTCAGAGTTAGGATCCAAATAGTTAAGGGATTTGGGTATAAAACTGAGCAATTTGAACTTTATTTTGAAAGCTCTTGTGGGAGGGGAGGTCTTGGTAGGTTTACAACTGAGTAGTTTCAAGGTTAGGTTTGTGTTTGGGAAAATTAATCTGGCAAGTAGTGTGGAGAATAGAATACAGGGAGGCAGACGGGAGACGCAGACCATTTAGGCTACTCTAGTCATTGGGGAGCCTCCATGAAGGCAGTTGGGCTGAAGAGCAGGGTTGGATTTTTTGAGGTAAAGGAGGTCTTGGGACTGAAGATGGATGGGAAGTTTGGTGAAAGGGTCACCCCCTAAGTTTATGGTTTAGGCAGATGGTTGTTATTTACTAAGGTAGAAAATGCAGGAGAAGGAACAGATCTAGGAAAAAGTGCTATGTTTGGCTGAGGATATGTTGAGCTTAAGGTGGCTAAAGGGTCTGTGGCTCGTGGCAGAGGCTGGGGAGGTTCTGGGTGTGAGGGAGATATGGGCACCACCAAAATGTCAGAGGAAGCCTACATGAAAGTATAAAACAGGACGCTGGGTCCCATAGGAGTCAAGTATCTTGCCCTTGTCATATACCTGGCAAGGTGCCAGTGGCTTGAACCGAGGGTTTATCTGGCTTCTAAGCCTAGTGATGTGCCAGTGTTTCATGATAAAACCTATTTCTTCCCCTTGTTTATATTGCTCCCCGAAGGATGCGTCATTGCCCAATCACTGGTTTTGTGATTTCTTTGTTCAAGCAGTCATCAGCCATGGTTTGGGTGTGGTCAAGTGTTGGTCCCTGCACCTTCCACCCCAGTCTTTACATGCATTCTGATACCGGTCTTGTGTGAGGTCTTCTTAGTACAGCTTGGCTGGGGGGATCATTGTGTGGTCATTCTTAACAGTAACAGACAGCACTTACAGATCTCTAACAAAGAAGAGGGAAGTGGTGGTTCCTTTCAACGTTGCTGCTTGTCATATTTTCCTGCAAGATGTTGAGGGTAAAATTACCTAAGATTCATCCTTCCCTTCCTGGCCCTCAGATACAGTAGGTGACAAATGGTCTTAGAGAACCAAAGTTTCGTTTCTTTTAATAACCACTCCCTGAGTCCAGGCCTTCAAGATACATTTGTAATCATGAGGTTCATCAGTAGACTTAGCAAGCTTACCTCCCACCCAACTGTCATCTCAGTAGAAGAGAAACTTGCTTGTTGCTTGCTTGGAACCTGTGTTTTAGCTTTTGGACAAACAGTCGCCCCATTTGTCTGGTGACGGGTAAAACAGATGCAGGCAAAACAGTAACCTGGGAAATGACTTTGCACAGCTCGACTTTGCCTGAGAGCTGGCTAAATATGGGCTTGCTAGGTGGAGGGCATAAAGCACTATGAAAAAGTATTCGTGAGTAGGTTTGTTTTACTCTTTCTTTTGAAACTTTTTTTTTTTTAGGCAACCTCCCGGCTGCTAGTAAATTACCCAGAGCCCTATCGTTCTGAAATATTGGATTATCTCTTTAAGGTAATGGAAAAATAATTATTTAATGGTAGTTGTGATATTTTAGAAACTATGGTGAAATTCACCCATAGATTTTATCACCTTCACAATTCTAGTTTTTTAAAAAATGGCAAATTACTTTTGGGATAAGTTGCTATTTATTTGAAGTTTTGCTTTGGTTTTCTCATCTGTAAAATCAAAGGCAGCAATTAGTAATTTTCTTAAAATGTCTTGTCCTTCATACAATGGATTATAGGTTAATACTGTTACTTCTTTCTCCAGCCAAACTTCGGTGCCTCGTTGCATATTCTAAAAGTCGAAATAGGTGGCGATGGGCAGACAACAGGTAGGAGTATTTGGGAAATGGGATTCTTACCCCTCCCCAACATTTGAACCTATACTTAAATTTATGGACTGTGATTTCAGATGATAAATAATACCGACATTTTTTATATTGATTATATTTTTTAATTCCTCACCTGAGGATATTTTTTCCATTAATTTTTTTAGAGAGAGTGGGAGGGAGGGAGGGAGGGAGGAAGAGGAGAGAGGGAGAGGGAAACATCAGTGTGAGAGAAACATCGATTGGTTGCCTCCCACAGGCATCCGGGACCCGGGCCAGGGCTGGAAGCTGCAACCCAGGTATGTGCTCTGACAAAGAATAGAACCCGTGCCCTACTGGTGCATGGGACGATGCTCTAACCCAGTGAGCCACACCGGCTGGGCTTGACATTGATTATTGCCTAAGAGATTGTTCCTTAATGTTCCTTTCCCTCTCTAAATATTTTTTTAAAATTGTATCAAAGTACACATTTTCCTCATAAAAAACAGCACTTGGATTATAAATTTTTTATTTAGTTGAAGTAATTAGTAATAAAAACCCACAGTTTTCTAAGAGCTATATTCCCTAGACAGAGCATAGGGATGGTTTGGAATTGTATTGAAAAGTTAAAAAAAAAACTTTCAATATTGTATGAAACATGTAAGGTATTATTAGCTTTAAATAAAATAGGTGGTAAAAATATAAGTCATCAGTATTTCAGATACATAGCTCTTTTTTTCTTTTCGAAACAAAATTATTTTTAACCATCAAATCTTCAGTCTTCATTGTGACCTTTTGATTGGCTTTGTGTAGCACATGTAGTCAGTTAAAAGTTTATGGGCCAGTAGTTTCCAAGAAGAGGAAAAAGGAAAGAAAAAGGAATTTAATTCTCTCTATTGTATGTAGCTTATTATTTTTAGGTCATATTCCATGGTGGTGAACTCTGGACGGTTGTCTGTACACTCAAGCTCTTGTTAGTGATTTGGAAGTAATTTCTGTCAAACGGATGTATCTGTGTGGTGGTATTAGTGCTTAGTTTATGTTGAAAGGAATGGAGTGAGAATTGGGTCTTAGGGGCCCAGACACTACATCCAGGATTGAGAAGCTGGAAGCTGAGGGGATACGAACTTAAAGTTGGATATGGGGATTTGAAAACCCCGGGAGACCAAACGCCCAGCGGAATGTAGTTCTAGGAATTTGCAGTTACATGAGGTGGTAACATTTCTCTTAATACTGCTTATAATAGAAAGTTGTGGTTTTATTACTGAAGACGCTACAGCGTTTGGGATAATGGCAAAAGGTTAAATAATATGCATTGGTCGTCCACCGGGTCATGTAAGGTTATTCTTACCTGCCCGCTCCAGGGTTGGGACTGGAGTACTGCTTCTGTGAAAGGTGTGCGTGTCCGGGCGAGGGGCCCTGCGATGCACCGGTCACGGAGTCGCTTCCTGTCCCTTTGCTCTCTCCGCTCAGATGGCACGGAGCCCTCCCACATGCACTACGCGCTGGATGAGAATTATTTCCGAGGGTACGAGTGGTGGTTGATGAAGGAAGCCAAGAAGCGGAACCCGAATATCACACTCATGGGTAAGAAGTGAAGTTTGCCTGCCTTTTGCGGTCTCTTCTTCAACTTTCAAATTCTGAACATAGGCTCTATTAATACTGAAGTACTAATAATGTAATTAATACTACCAGTGTGCTACCAGGAGCAAAGCATGTGCCAGGCACGATCCTTTCTTTGCCTTATATATTATCTCTGATCTTTATAAGAATTCTGCAGTAAGGTATTCTTCCCATTTTACAGAAGAAGCAGTAGAGGCTTAGGGAGGTTATGCCACTGATTTAAGATCAGATAATTAGTAAATGGCAAAATTATATTTAGAAACTATTCTATTCTGGTAGTTTTTTGTTGTTTTATGCTAACCTACTTTTCTCAACAAAATTTCTCATCCAAATATGCCAAAAGGCAGTGCTGTTTATAAAGTTGTATATTACATGCAGTAATATGTTCCAACTATTTGCAAAATTGTGCATTACATGTAGCAGTAGACTCCATTTCTAGAAGTGGTACATACAAAAGGCTTTCTGTTTGTTTGTTTTGAATCTCCGTGATGTGGTGGTCACTGTTCCAGGCACTGCGGACACCAAACAATCTAGCCTCCAGCTCCTGCCCTTGTGAGCTTAGGTTCTGGTGGCAGGATCAGGATCACTGGATGATTCTCACATGGGACTGTATTCATTCCACAGCCCTGTAGCAGTGCACATGCCTGTAAACTATTTCAGGCACATACAGTGGTAGCATACTTTCATCATTTGAAATGAATTTGATTTTTCGAAACAGGCTCGCACATTCAGACTAAGTTCAGGGAGATTAATGAGATTTATTTTATAGACTTGATTTTAAGAGATTTTAAAAATCGCTTTAAACAAAGGATAAGTATAAGTTTTTCTATATTAAAAAAAGAGGAGTCAGTGTGCTCTTTGTAAATGGACTTTGTAAGAGATTCCAGAAATGTTTGGCGTAGTAAAAAGCACCATTGACTTTGGTGCTACTTGCCCTTTGGGCTGCTCTCAAGGTCAGTGCTCATTTGCATGTAGGAAATCTGGCCTGCTGAACCTTGTCCTAACAGAGACTTACACAGGGTGGGCCTGCAGAATGTGCTTGGCATTTCATTGTTTTAAAATGCTCCATTATTTTAATGTCACATTTCTTACGTAAATACACTTAGGCATTCCTCCTGAGTTCAGAAAAATACACATTTTATCATTCGGAATGTAAATTTTTCAGTGGTGAACTAGATTGGTTACATATAAACAGTTAGAGAACTTAGCTGTTGAGTTTATTTAAATATATTGGTAACAGAATTAGGATTTAGAATTGTAATTAGTGCTTTTCTACTCTTCTCATGTTTTACTTAAAGTAATAATTAGCATATTGGAATAATGTGGATTAGTCTACATCATTTAAAAAAGGTATATTTTTCCTGTTGAGTCATGTGCATTTATATTGATATTAGGACAAACTAGTTTTGCTAAATTTGATTACCTAATTTATATTTTAAGTCGTCTTAGTAGTGAATGAGGACTTTGTATTGTAGTTACCTCTTAGGAGTAGTGAAGCATAAGCCTTTCAGAACTCTGATTTTACCTCAGAGAACAGCAATTGGTTATTGAACATCCCCTATAGTAGGTGGTAGGGATGTTAAGTTAAATTGCACGTTATATTTCTTTCTGTTGGTAATTATCTTTGAGAGAGGGGTTTGTTTTTGTTGCTGTTTGTTTTTATTTCTTTATCTTGAAAGAGCATTTGGAGTTACTGAATCTGACTCTAGGGATCAGTAACACATTAGAGTGTCCATAGACTGGAAGGGATTTTGAGAATTTGTGCATGAAATATAATCTGTCCTTTCACCAGATCTGTCTTGGCTTTTCGCTTTGCCTGTGTTCCTTTGGGTTTCTTTTGCTTTGTTTTTAACAGCACCAGCATTGTTATACCCACTCTCCCCCTCTGCAGGGTTGCCATGGTCATTCCCCGGATGGCTGGGGAAAAATTTCGACTGGCCTTACGTAAACCTTCACCTGACTGCCTACTATGTTATGACCTGGATTATGGGTGCCAAGCGTTATCATGATCTGGACATTGATTACATTGGGGTTAGTAATATATTTAAAACATGCTTACATTTTGGACATTTATATGTAATTTTTTAAAGTGGCATTCTGTTGACTAACCATGCTGTGTCATGAGGCAAATTTGTTCTGCTGGTGTCTGATGATAACGTAAGTTAACCACATGTAACCCTTGAATCCTTCCTCTTTGCCCATCTATGTTCTTCCACTTCTGAAAAAGGAACTGTTTACCTTTTCCAAACTATATATTTTTTTAATGTTTGTTTTTGGTACCACCCCAGGTCAAATTCTCCTTCAAAACTTTCCCTACTTTCTCTAGTTCTTATAACCATACTATGCATACTACAGTGTTTAATGATTAATCTTGTTTTGCTCTGTGAGTCTTTTGTTGTTTTAAACCAGGGGTAGCAAACTTCCTTGAAGGACCAGAGTAAATATATTATGTTTTGTGGGTTAAAAGGATATTATGTAGGTAATTATATAACCATTTAAAATGCAACCATTTAAAACTGGCTTTAAAAATACAAGTGGTGTGCCAGATTAGGCAGGCTGGCCAAAATCTGCCTACCATTGTCCTAAACTGTTAATGATTTAAAAAATGTAGCACGTGATATCTTGTCTTTCCAGCTGGTCTGTTGGCAGGCTGGAGGCATGCCCCAGACTGCCATGTACCTACAGAGCCTCACTCACACATTCAGTGGGTCTCCACACTTTTATTAATATGCCACCTGTCAAACTGACTTTAAAAAGTTTTCATGCAATAAGCAGCAGTTATTGCACTCTTACTGTGCTGCAGGTGCCCTGACTGTTATGTTCCAGGGATACCAGGATTAATAAGCTCTTGAGGAGTTCAGTGAGAGGGGTGGACACTCGCACAGATAAAATGCAGTATCACAGGGTGATGGAGGACGTGAGGAGGAGCCAAGGGCTGTCAGCCAGAAGCAAGAGTACACTTGTGTTTGTAATCCTTCTCTAAATTATAACTGAAAATTAGTTTGTATTTGAAAAGTTTGTTAAATTTTAAAGGTCTTTTTAACCTATAGTGAGACTAAGTGTACGTTTGGGTCTAATACTATTCTGTTGTGGTAAAGTCACACTTAGAAACTCTATCTGGCAAATAAAGGGTCATTCACATCTTTTTTAGACTCTTGATAAATCACATACTATGGTGAGGAGCTTCTTTGATTAGAAACTCTTTCCTGTATCACTGGAGTAAAAAGAATTATAGCACCTGGACTCTAGGCCCATCTCTGTTATTAATGGTTTTCTTAGCTGCAGAGTGAAAGTCAAAGAGGTTCTCTTTCAACTCTAAGTTCCCAGGCTTCCCAATCCCAAACCTAAGGGATGTGAGCAGGTTCCTTTTATACATATTGAGAGTTTGCTTTTGGGAAGCAGCACATCATTGAGACTCTCTGTGTGCTAAGGAATTCCTCCTGTATGGCCTACTTGTGAATACTTGGCTTTCCGCTGTGCCTGAGGGAATCTTACACGAGTTGTTACAGCAATCCCTCTGTCAGGTCTCCAGGCCCAGTGTAGTTCCTGGCTCACATTGCATTGTCAATATTTGTTGAAAGATTGAATGAATATTTCATTTTTGGAAATCTCTAGAATAAACACAAATTTTGAAAATATGCACAAATATTTTAAGCTTTTAAAAATAATTTTAATTTTAAAAGTTATGTTGTCTTATAAATATTGGTACATTCTATAACAGGCCATCTTATAAAGTAAGAAAAATGGCTTTTCAAGTGATATGAAAGTTGACGGGAGAAGTGACATTCAGTGATCATGTCTATTTTCTGACACTTAAAAACTTTTAATTCAGACTTTTTGACTTTTTGTTTTGCAGATTTGGAATGAAAGGGCATTTGACGTCAATTATATCAAGGTCTGTAGAGCATAAAAATCTTTTAATCTTTAAGTCATTAGTGAATAATTCCTTTATGGTTTCGTGGAAATTAGTAAAAACTGTATATATATATTTTTACAGCATAGTTATTTGTTTTGCTAGTTGGGACACAAAATTTAAGCAAAATCTTAATAATATTTATATTCCTGGTTAAAGTATACGTAATTCCCTGTAAGCCGCAAATTTTATTTTGTATATATTTTTTCCTGTTGCAAGTCTGTTCCTATTCCATTGTGTTCTAATTCAACTTGCCTGGTTTTCAAAATGACTATTTTATTTATTTATTTTTATTTATTTATTTATTTATTTATTTATTTATTTATTTATTTATTTTTAAAAATATATCTTTATTGATTTCAGAGAGAGGAAAGGAGAGGGAGAGAGAGAGATAGAAACATCAATGATGAGAGAGTCATTGATTGAGCCCGCAACCCGGGCATGTGCCCTGACCGGGAATCAAACCCCGATCTCCTGGATCCTAGGTCGACGCTCAACCACTGAGCCACGCCCGGCCGGGCAAAAATGACTATTTTAAACAGTTTAGACCATTTCCTTTTCTCTCAACAGTTTACCTGCAGTAAAATATCTCAGGATATAAAAACTTTTAGTCTGTAATTGCCATTTTGTAGCAAGATTTTATTGGAATCTGTGTCATGTTTGTTAAAATGCCTATTTGAAGAGGTCAGTAATGGCAGATGAATGTAGGTGTTCAGGTTTACAAATATGTACTCCATATAGTGTAGTAAAGATGGCTCCTGGAAATCGTATGGGCTTTTTTGTTTTTAAGAGTAGAGACTAATATAATATGAACAAGTGATTTATATAACAATGGCAGGGCAATTGTTTTTGTTTTTGCTATTTATGTTGTATTTAAGATTTACTTTGGGTTTTCAGTGATGTGGTATTCAAGTTGTGTCCGGAAACTCCCATCTGGGGTCTGAGTGTGCTGGATGGAAAGGAATATATGAGCCTCTGGACAGTACTGAGCACTGGAGCAGGCGCTTTGGGCTTTGTTGATTTGCTTCCTGTTAGAATTTAACTTGTTACTTTTAATTTTCCTGGGTAGATAGGCCTAGAGGTAAGTTTTTATTGCCCGTCCTATCTATGCATGGGAAAGACTTGAGGGTAGCAATGGAATATTTTTTCTTATTATTTCTAGTATGGTACAAAATATCTAGAACTCTAATATTTTCAGTAATGATAGAATATTTAAAATCCTAAAAATCCTAAAAATAAAATCATAGTTTAAAGCATTTTACCAAATGGTATGCTTAATATGATTCCAATTTTATTTTGTGTCTTCCTAAGAAATTTCCTAAGAATGCATACCAAAGTAATAGTGGTTATTTCTGGGTGGTACTATTATGATTAAAAAAAAAAAATTCCACCCTCCCACCCAAATTTTTTATGGTTAAACATAATTTTGAAGGCAGAGGGAAAATGCCTCTAAAACATTTTAACCTCACAGGTTTGTCTGTTTTCTTTATACTTTCCCATGAAGTGGGTTATCTTGATAATAATGGTTTTATTTTCCACAGGAGCCACATTTCTACTGAGAAATAATATTGACACTAGTGTCCAGGATGCTGATTTTTGAAGATGCTTTAGCTACCCTGGTCGTAATTCAACAGCCAAAAACTCACTTGTAACCTTTCCTCTGTCCTGTGTCTCCTCCAAAAGGTGTTAAGAAGAATGTTGAACTATCAAGGTCTCCATCGAGTGAAAATCATAGCGAGCGATAACCTCTGGGAGCCCATTTCTGGCTTTATGCTGCTTGACTCTGAGCTCTTGAAGGCGGTTGATGTTATAGGGTAAGAAGCAATGTCTTACTTTGAAAACTAAATTTCCCGTTGCTTTCTCTGAATATATTGACTGTGCCTTTCTTTTTGTGTTTTCCTCCCCATTTGGTTACATTTTCAGAAAGTAGCTTTCTTGTATTAACTTAATAAAAGCCTGTATAGCCCATATTTCATTCCTTTTTCTTTGAAATGTATGGATTTTGGGGGTTTTCTATGACAATGAAAAGTATTGGTAATTTTAAAAAATTATGTTGATGTTTGCAGGAATAAAACATGGCTTTGTTTAGATTGAGGGGCAGAATAGTATTTAAATTTTAGAAGTTATAAAAGACGATGTCGTGGAATTAGATCCTAACCCTCAGGCTTCCTGTAGGTGGAAGTTCTCTCATGAACTTGTGTACATGGTATGGTGTGATCACTGACTGTGACTTCCGTCGGGCTTCCTTCGCAGTTTGGCTTTGGCCCTGCTCCTTAGTCCAGGCTACCTTTCAACCTTCTGGGCCTTGGTTTCACTACATCCCAGCAGTATTTTTTCCCTGTCTTATTTATTTTATTTTCCATTTTGATTGAGAAATAATTGTTATACATCACCACATAAGTTTAAGCTATACAGCATGGTAGTTTGATTTACATGTGTTGTGAGATGCTTATCACAGTACGTTTAGTTACCATCTGTCACCTCATATAGACACAATTAAAAAAAAAAATAATTCTTGTTATGAGAGCTCTTGGGATCTTGCTCTCCTAACAGCTTTCCTGTATATTGTACCCAGCTATTAACCAGTCATCACGTTATACATTATACTCCTAGTACTTATTTATGTTATACCTGAAATTTTATACCTTTGACCACCTTCCTCCAATTCCACTCCCACCCTCCACTCAGCAATTTTAAAAAAAATGAATTTTAATTTTATCTCTCATGACAGTGTATGTAAACATTTGAAAAATAGAATACACGTGTGTGTGGAATTTGATCTTTATTTGGTGTGAAGACTCTGCTTGATCTAATGGCTTTTTTAATGAACGTACACAAACTTAGGCAGAGCATATATATAATGAATATCCGTGTTCCCATCACTCAGCCTCCAGAAAGACGAACCCGTGGTCATACCATGCTGTGAAATGAGAGATGTTTTGCCTAATTACATACATTTAAACAATTCCATTCTTAAAGAACCTGTACATTTTGTTGAATTGGTGGTGGATCTGGATATTGGAAGAGACCCAGATTTTAGTATTAGTTCTTTCTTTGCTCAGATCATTTAACCACTCAGGTTTTAAATGTAATGTAACAGTTCTATTGTTTTCCCAATGAGGGATAGCACACCTGTTTCTATTATTTTAAAGGAGATACTTTTCAGATTGTAAAAATAGTGCATGTTCATTATGGAAAAATTTGGAAAATGAGAAAACTAGTATAGAGTTAGAATTTACTCAGTGTAACATCTACAGGTCATTGGTAACATAAGAGCATGTTCCTTCCCAGGCTTTATTTTCTTATACAAGTACATTTAACCAGAGATACACCAAACATACATTTGGCTTTTGTCTGAGGCATTGAGGCTGAATGTCATGATCGTAGAATGAAGTTTGGGGATATAAGAATGAATCCAAAATAATAAAAAGTGTTAAAATGAAACATTATTACACATATTAGTAGTCACATTTTTCCGAGTTGGGCATTATGGGGCCGAGACAACAACAACTTAACTCTGTTAGGTGCTGGTTTGTTCTTGTGATCTCTGTAGCATGTATTTACAGTACCGATTGGATGCCTGTTCTCAACTCAGGCCAGTGACAGCAGACTCTTGCTGGAACCTTATTTTTCTCAAATATTTCTTTTTGTATTCTCTATTATATATATACTTTTTCCACATGAAGTTATGAAATGCTAAACTGATATTGTGTCCTAATCCATCTTTACTAGTATAATGGTTCCCTAATAGGACTTCCTCTTCACAGATTCATTACCTAAATGGAATTTAACTGCAAACTAAAACAGGACTTTACAGTCATTCTTTTAATGTAATTAGTACTACCACACCAAACTGCAAAGAGATAATGTAGTCTTTATTATCTACTTGTGTTATTAAATTTTTTATAGGTAATTGTTGGCCTAAAAAGTATACACTCATGTCCCTAAAGTTGTTTAGCTAATGTGCTCCCTTATTGTATTAACCATCAGTCTGTTTTCTATTTTAAATTTGAAATTTCTTAATTGTTTTTACTTAAAGTTTACTCTTAGAATAATAAATATACATTTATGCTTCAGCTGACGACTCCTGTCAGTGCTACACTCCGGGAAGGACTCGTTACTCTGGGGCAGGGTTTCCCAGCCTCTGCAGGTTGGATCTGTTCACTGGATAGTTCTTTGTGGTGGGCACCTGCCCTGTGCCTTGTAGGGTGTTTAGCAGCATCTCTGCTGCTCCCTAGATGCCAGTAGGAACCCTGCCTTCTCTGCCAGGCAAAAATCACCCGGGTTGAGAGCCACCTCTGCTCTGGGATTATAATTTGTAGTTTTCCCAAGGTAGTTTATTCAAGAAGGAACTCTCTGTGTGGGTTTTTATTTTTTATTTTGTTTTTATTTTTGTCTGGGAGTAAGTGCCAAGCTGTCTTTCTCTGCCTGCTGGGGGTGGGAGCAGGGGAGGAAACACTGCCTTATACAATAGCTCATTATTCTTATTTTTCGCTTCCTTCTTAACTCTTCCTTTCTCAGTGTCCCAAATTCTGCACTTCCCTGGGAAGTGAATCCTGTGTCCTCTCCATTCATCTCTTGGAGTGTCCTAGGCTGTGGCCTCCTCTGCCCCCCCCATGTACCAACATCCTTCCGTAATTTTACGGTTTCCAGGAACAGAAATGCCTCACTCATCCATGGTCTTCCTTTCCATTCTGTGTGTGGTTGTAGGTTTATCTCACCTGAAGGGCATCCTGAGACACAAGGATGGGAAGCAGATGCTGACAGTCAGTCAGATGTCTACCTGGAAGCTGCTTGTTGTCTTAAAACAGAACATGTTGAAGGAGACATGTATTTTTATGAACTTAACAAATGGACATAAGTGCCCCAGTTTGACCTTTCCCTTTTCCTCCCACCCTTTCTTTCCTAGAGCTCACTATCCTGGGACGCGTACAGTCAATGATGCAAAGCTGACCAAGAAGCAGCTTTGGTCTTCCGAGGATTTTAGCACTTTAAATGATGACGTGGGTGCTGGCTGCTGGGGTCGCATACTGAATCAGAACTATATCAATGGCTACATGACTGCGTAAGTTATTAAAAACTTTTAAATGCTTTTACCTTGAAAATTTTCTAAAACACAGCAAGAAGAAAAATGTACAATGGACTCCCATATTCTCACAACCTAGATTCAGTGACTCTAAACATTTTGCCTTATTAGCTTCATCTACACCTATATGTATACCTGAGCCACATCCATTTATTTTTTTGTATTTGAACATTGTCTTTACTGAATAAAGAGTCAGGCTTATTGAGATATGATTTATATACAGTAAAATTCATGCACTTCTTTGATTTTTAACAAGCTGTATATATATATACACACATATATACACACACACCCCCACACCCATATATATGTAAAATTGCAGATGTCATGACACTTTACCCTAAATATTTTAGCATGTGGCTCCAAAATTAAGGATATTTTCCTACATGATCACAATATCATTTTGATATATATGAGCATAAGAATATTTAAAAAAGTATTTCTCATGCCCAGTCCATATTCAGATTTTCCTAATTGTCTTCAAAACTGTCATTTATAGCTTTTTTTTTTTTTTTAAAAAAAAAGGAGAGCCTGTCAAGCACCATGCGTGGCATTTAGATGTCATGACCCTAAAGTCTCTTTTAATCTGGAACAGTTTCCTTCCTTCCTTCCCCATTTCTTACCACAAGACTAGGCAAGTTGTCTTGTGGACCATCCACCTCCCAATCTGCCTGATCTGAGTCACTTAATTTGAGTAACTGGCTGTTTCCAAAACAGAGGTTCCAAAGAGAGAACACAACTCTTTTTTATTTATCAGGGAAGCATTTCTTAAATGCTTTGAGAAGCTTTAATTGTAATTAGATTCAAATTAGCTTTCTAAAAAAACAAACAGAATAAAAGCCAGCCAATACGTGCTTTTATGATGCTAATGTGAGCCAGCACGTTGTTCTGACAGCCGCCTTTGTTCTTTTTCTTCTCTTTTTGAAAGAAAAGATGCTTCTCTTGGAGATGTTTGTTCTAATGACTTAATTGGGTATTAGGAGTCAAGGATGCTCATGGCAGAGAATTAGTAACTGCACATAAACACCAAGTAGGAAACAACATCACTCATATTTTTACCATCCAGAGGTAACTCTTCTTAAAAAATGTGGCATATGTCTTTCCATTTACATTATATCTGTAAAATTTTAATACAGAATTGAGACTATACCGTATAATGTTCAGGAAATAAGCTGCTTTTCACTTAACAAGGCCTTAGGAACTTTTCCTCCTATTTAAGTATACTTTGACTTCCTCGTTTTTAAGGTTTATGTATGTTCTTTTACATAAAGCAGAACTTCCCACCCTCGCCTTGTCTCAGGAAGCACCTGAGACACTTGGTTATGTCGATTCCTTGGCAGCTGCCAGGCCTGCTGAACCCCCATCTCCAGGGAAGGCTCCTGGGACTCTGGTGGTCTGGTCAGTGCCCCAGGTGGTTCTGATACCACACAGCTTTGGGAAACAATGATGCAGAAAATATACTATACACACTGAACTGATCAGTCCTGCACAGATATCTCTATAGACACCTATGATTATTTCCTCGGGGTGTATTCTTGGAAATGGAGTCAATGTCTGGGTCAGAGGCATATAGGTTTTCAAGGCATTTGTGTATGTTACAAAGTGCTCTCCAGGTGGTTTAATTCGTATTTCTAGCACTAGCTGGAGAAGACACCATGCATTTTGTAATCCACGGGTAAATCATGAGAGCTCTTAACATTCTCACTGGCAGTAAGGATTTTTGAAAATTGGGACTATTGTTTCTACTTTGGCAGAATTAGACAGAATTAGAAGACTGACTTTCTAAGAACGTCAGTCTATCATTTTATTATGGGTTTTGTTTTTGTTTTTAGCTGCGAGGAACCCAGCAGTACTAGGATCCAGAGCTTCCCTTTTGCCCTTGGATTTTCCTGAGAACCAGAGAGTCATAATCTTAGGGGTCGGCACCCTCTGTGGACATCTGAGAGAATGGACCAAAAATGCAGACCAGCAGGCTGCCCCCGTTAGTACTTGTAGATGAAGCAGAATCGTAGCAGTGCAACAGCCCAGGCCCGTTCTGTCCACTTCACACACGGAATTCTCACACTGGCCTCGGGCCAGGTGCACTTCTTAGCCCCATTTTGCAGACAAGGAACTGAGGTCAGAGAGGGTCAGTGGTGGAACCATGACTTGCACCCAGGCAGTCAGACTGTCAAAGTTCTCAGTTTTAAAACGTTGCAGTTGCTCAGAGTCAAGTTCATAAAATTACATCATGAAGCTGGGGCATTAGGAAGGCTGACTGTCGTGGACACGGATAAAGCAGGTATCGATAAAGCCTCTATTTCTGGCACTGGTGGGTCACGATCCAAGTTCTGGTTATATATGGCTCAGCAAAAATTGTGCACCTTATATTCATTTGAATTTTTTATTATGCAACTCACCATTCACAATATTTAGATGCATCCAACACTGGATTTTTCAAAATGTGGATGAACTTTATTTAGTCAACTTACATTTTCTTGTTTTGAGTGGTCATTTTTCCATTATTTACATATATTTATGTAAATTATGTGTAGGTCTTTTTACTCTGTAGGCTTCTAGACATTTACATTTTTATCACAAGCTGTTTTGGTATTTCTCTTTTTCAAACAAATCTTTCAGAACAATCGCTTGGAATGTGGTGGCCAGTTACTATGAACAGCTGCCGTATGGGCGGAGTGGACTGATGACTGCCCAGGAGCCATGGAGTGGGCACTATGTGGTAGAATCTCCTATCTGGGTAACAGGTGTGGTTCCCATACCATCTCTCACTCCCCAAATTCCTTTCTAAGGCCAAAGCAGAAAATACTTAGAGGGGATTGTCAGGGTGGGTGGAAATTTCCCCCTAATTCTCTTGGTTCTTTTGGCTGCCTAATAATTAAATAGACTCAAGACGGATTATCAGGAGGAAAGAAAACCAAATTCAAGTTTGTACATGTGGAGGTCTCAGAGATATGGGACCTAAGACGTCATCAGAGCAGGCTGTTGATAAACCTTTAGACAAGAAACAATAAATTTGTGAGGAACTGACAAGACAATAAAATAGGCTTGGGCACTATTTAGTGAAGAAAGGAGCAGTTTGTATCCACAGCTTACTTTGCTCTGAGTTTCCTGTCTCTGGCCAGCAGGCTGTCTCCCTGCCTCCTGGTGCAGGGAGGGAGGGTACCTTTCACCTGGGAGATTTATTTCCTGCTTTCCGGGGGATAGAGAGTCAGAGGTCCTTTTTGTACTGCTGGTTCTCGAGTAACTTTAATTAAAAGTAATCGTTATGTCCTAGTTGGTTAACTCCTTAAATGCTGAAATTGGGTTTTTTGGATGTGGGTTTGGCATGTAGAGTATTGCTCAGTACATTTTCAGGGCCAGCATTGGAGGTGCCCAATAAATATATATTGTGGAAATAAACTTATTTGAAACCATAAAGCTTAGTTTTTGACATGTATTATTGACTTTTTAAACCTTATTTTTGTAGTTGTATTAGGATGGGTTAAATAGAGATGAATCAGGTTTGGGAGGGAATAACTTTATCTTACTCTTGGAAAAAGACAATTATTATTCTTGACCTGACAGAATGGGGTTCATTTATTTTTACTAGTGATTCTAAGAATCTTCCCACAGTTATACCGTTTAACTGGATTAATTATTCCAAAGTTGGAACATGGGGTTGGCAAGTATTTTCTTCCAAAACACAAAATAGCTTGTTAGAGTTAATCAGACTCAAGTCAGTATACAGATTTTTTTATTTTTTATTTTAGAAGAAACCCTGTCGTTACCATTTTTATCTTAGTTGGGTCGTTCTCTGCTTTTCTGTAGCTCATACTACTCAGTTTACCCGGCCAGGTTGGTACTACCTGAAGACAGTTGGCCATTTAGAGAAAGGAGGAAGCTACGTAGCTCTGACTGATGGCTTAGGTAACCTCACCATCATCATTGAAACTATGGTAATTCTTTGTTGTTGTTTTGTGGGGCAGGGGGTGGGGGGGGGTGATTAACTCACTTTGTTTTTTTAAACCAGTTTTTGAAGATTATACATATAATGAGCAGTACATAGGGGAGGAAGAAACTTTTTCCTATACCCTTTTAGGTTCAGGAGCTGGGGCTTCACAAATTAAGCTGACAAAAGACAATAGCCTGAGAAAAGAAAACGGAATTTATTAATGCACGTACGTGTGGGAGAGACTCTGTGGTGAATAACTTAAAGGGGTGGTTAGAATTTGGATTTATACCTAGCTTAATAAGTAATGGGGGAGGGAAAAAGGGAACATTTGGGGAAATAAATGACTTTAGGGAAAGATACAGACAATGGCTTCATGAGACACACAGACATATCTGCAGTGCAATAAGGACTCTCTGTCTTACCCAGAGGGGGATGCAGACAGTGGCATCTCAGGCACTGAGGTGGGCTAGGGGAGAGGGGTGAAGGGTTTCCCACTGTGAGGGGCTTTCCTCACCTCTGTGTGGCTGCTCAGTCAGGGGGCAGACAGTCTCTGATCCTGTGCCAGGCAGCTTCCTACCTATACTTTGTTCAGAAAAGGTACAAACAGCTCAGGCACCCACGTGTTACCCCTGAAACCCCCTCAGAGAACAAGGCAGCCAGAGGAGTGACATGCAGCCCTCTCTGTGCATGGGCTTGGCTCCTGCTCTGCTGTTTATACTATAGAGCAACAGGATTGGCAAGAAGGAGCTGGAAGGGCAATGCTACTTGATGGCAAACATGGTAGTCTGCAGGGGACAAGGCTACAGTGTCCATCTAAGGTGCTTCAGGTTGATCAGGACACTCGGTAAAATCCTAATGGGGTCGAGCCCATTTGGCTCTTATTTGAAGGTTATATTTAGATGTGATGCCTTTTCAGTAAAAACATTCCAAGCATTTGCTTTTTTGATATATTTTACTTGGAAAATAGTTACAACATAAAAACTAATGTGCGTGCTGTCAAAGGACTGGAATTGAGCTATGAATTCAAAGTTTGATTCAGTCAAAATGCCAGTGAACTTTACTTTGACTAGTTATATGCACTGGACATTCAGTAAAGGTCATATTAAAAAAAAGTCTTTAAAAATTTAAAATAAACTCATAGCTGTCTCCTAATGTGTACAATTTCTCTTAATCTTGGGGCATTAAATGTTTAATTTTTTTCCTAAGATGGCTTGTATATCATTCGGATAATTTATGTGATTTTTTTTTCTCCTCAGAGCCATAAACATTCTAAGTGTATTCGGCCGTTGCTTCCTTATTTCAACGTGTCACACCAAGTTGCTACCTTTGTCCTTGAAGGTTCTTTTGTAAGTAAATGTGTGGGACTTTTATTTTGGTTTTGATTTTGATTTTGAGAATTTATATATTTTATCACAGGCTAGCAGTTCTCAAGCGAATTCGTATATTACAGTCATTAGAGCCTTAAAGAAAATATTTTTATAAAAACTTCACTGGTTGCCACCCGTGTTCTTGTGGGTGAGAAAAATCATTATAAAATAAGGTGGGTTTTTTGTTCTTTACAATAAAGTTTACTAAAAGTTAAACAAAGAGAAAGAGTTTGCATGTGAATGGATAAAATGCCCTGGTGTCTTCTATCTGTTGACTGGTTTCAGTGAAACACTGATAGGAGCCACCAGGAGGTAAAACTCTGGCTTTGAATGACACTTAACAAAAGTGAGTTGCAGGAAAGTCGTTCTTACTAGTAGAAGCATAAGTCTAGGGAAGCTTCAGGCATTGCTCTTTACAGAACTCTGTACAAAAAAACCAAGAACAAAACACATCAGACTCTAGCAATTTCTACCTGTTGCTAGATTTGAATACAGAAAATGCTGGGAATGCCCTTTCTGACTACTAATCTCATAAGAATAGTTTTTTAATACCAGAACATTCTTAAAAACTTTTTCACATAAGTATAATAATGAATATATTTGAATCCAAGGCCCTAACATAGTTAAACATTTGCAAAAACAATCTGTAGATTTGTAGGAAATAAAATATTTGCTTGAATAATGCCTTTCTACTTTCAAAATGTTACTGTTTAAAATTTGAGGCGGGCCTTTTGGTGGAGCAAGAGTGCGCGTGGGCACTGGCTCGTTCTTGCTGGCGCTGATTTTGGAAATCCTCAACAGGGTATGATGCACCACTCAGCTGTGCTTTTCTGTGTGTTTTCTCCTCAGAGTGAAATAACAGAGCTCCAGGTGTGGCACACCAAACTTGGCACATCATCGGACAAATTTCTCTTTAGACAACTGGATTCTCTATGGGTAGTTTTAAAATAAATCCCTATACGTATTTTGAGCATTTCAACAGTAAAAGGGAACAGAAATTGGATTAATGAATTAAGAATTTTTAATTTTATCACTGATGTTATGGCTGAAGCATAATAGGTATTTGGTTTGTCTTGGGGAATGGTGCCACCGTCACTTGGCTGCTCGAGTCAGAAATCTGAGTCTCATTTGAAATTGTCTTTCCCGCTCATGCTTCCTGTGCCACCTGTGATCAAGAACAGCCGAGTCTATCATCCACACCTTTCTCGTACCCAGTCCTCATTCTCCGTGCCTGCTGCTCCATCTCTTTCAGTTCCTCAGTCTCTCTCTCCCCTATGTAAACCACCTCCAGTTTCTCCAGCCACCAATCTGACTCTCTCCAGGCCCCATCACACTGCATTTACAGTGATGTGTCTAAAATGCAGATCTGATTTTTTAAATCTCTCGCTCAGAGTGCCTCAGTTAATTTTCCTACAAGTTTATGTCCCTTTGTGCAGCCCATGGCCCTTGATGCCACCACAAGAGCAAAAAGACTGCTTTCCTTTCTCGACACATGTCCTGTGAAACTGGCCCCACAGTGTAAACTTTGTGCATTTTTCAGAGCATGGTCTGCCAGTTTAATTCCTTTTGTGACTTTGCACATGCTTTTTATTCCTTCTAGAATGCCTCCCACATGTCTTGTTGTCCTTCAAGACTCAGCTCAAGGTCACTTCTTCAGGGGCTTTCCCACCAGCCTTAGCTCATTGCCCCCTAGGACATGTGCTTGTCAGTTAAACACTTTCCCTGTGTACTGGATCCCTTGAGGATGGGGCCCTGCCTTATTTAGCTTTTTATCCCAGGTGCCTACCATAGTGCTGAGTACATGGTGATTTCTCAGGAAACATTTCAGAAATGGATTGGACTAAGCAAGCACATTAATTGACACGAATCTGCTCCTTTTTCTGCCAATTAGTCATACCCTGTGAACCCACTAGTCATTCTCAATGGTAGAACATTCATTAATATTAATAACGGGGAAAAAGAACAGTCTGTATTTTTTGTGCATTGAATTGCTAGAAATTGCATAATAAAATTGATTTTCCCCATAGGAAAAATAATACCATTTAGGGTTATTTCCAAGCCAGAATATGGTGTTAGATATTTCATAGATCTGACCAACAATTTATTTTTAAAGCAAAGATAGAATACAAACCCCTTTAATCCAAAGTAGAAAGAAAGCTGGTTAAGTTTCATAAAATAGGCATAGATCGAATGCCTGCATTCATTACGCACCGGACTCCAGTGTCTTCTGAGGTCTTCGTTTAGTACAGAACAGGTATGACAGGAGGTGTTTCTTGTAGGTCCCACACTGGGCTAGGAGCACTTCAGAAATATTCTCTCTCTTAATCCTCACAGCAGCGCTATGAAGCATGTGTATTTTTTCCTCAGTTTGTAGATGAGGAAACTGTGGCTTAAAGAGATTAAGTTGCTAAGATCATAAATGTATTATAAACCTAACTGGCTAATGGGACTATACATTGACCATAGAATGAGCTGGACTTCTTTTTCTTAACAGTAAAAGGTTTTCTGTGACTACTACCTGAGTCAACAGTGAGATTTTATGGATTTTCCTACCTTAGTAAAAAATTAGTAAAGTCCTAAAAAGTGAATCAGCAGGTCTCCTAGTTATGTGTATTGAATATATACACGTGTTAAGGAGCTTATAGTCTAATGGACAAGAATAGACTAGTAGAGGTAGATTTGGGGATCATCTAGTCTCCCTTCCCTCCATGTAGTGAAATTCTTTTAAAAATGCTTTCTATAAAGTATAATCTCATAAAGTCTTCAAAATAACTTAAACAATTTTCTGAGGGCCTTTACAAGTGGTTAGGAAGTTCTAACAGAAATGAGTTTGGCTTATCTAAGCTTATTTTTAACAAAGCTATTTTGCCCTAATGAGACGAGCCAGAGCCCCTGGCCTCGACCATGGTGTTTCCCTTTCAGCTCCCCGGAAGCAGCGGCAGTTTCACTGTGGAGCTGCAAGAGGATGAGCTGTTCACGATCACCACCCTCACCACCGGCAGCAAAGGCAGCTACCCGCCGTCCCCCAAGTCCCAGCCCTTCCCGGCCGTCTATACGGATGACTTCAATGTTGGTAAGCGGCCTTCGCTACCACCCAACTTGGTTTCTATTTTTGGCAGCCGTGGAGAGATTCCACCTGTGAAACCAGTGCCTGGCGGAGCGGCTGTGGAAAGTACATTCATTTAGCTGTAAAGCTCTACCTGGTAAACGAGACCTAATTTTTATGTTACTTCAAGGTGAACCTCAACTTGAGGACCCTGTATTTTTCAGTGCCAGCAAAAACATTGAGGTCATTGTCAGGATGAAGGTTAGAATTCTCACGGGTTTTGGTGAAATGTAAGATTTGTAGCAGTGCTACTGCCCCTTTATCCATATCTCATGAAAGCCGTTGTCCATTTGTGTAGGATTTGTCTTCCCATAGTGTTAGTGGACTGAGTGCTTATGGGCAGTTGTGCTTTCCTTAGTTAATCCAACTCATTAGCCGCCCTCTTGTGTGCCTGGGAGTTTTATATGTGTGCTCTCCTGGTTTTCTGGGAAGATCTGTCCTAACGCTGTTAGGAAAGCTTTTGATTATGGGTAACCGAGGGAAACCGCAAAGTTAGAAGGCATGGTCATTGTCAGTGTATTCCTAGATCACTCAGTAATCAACAGAACTTGGTCTAGCATTATGCACCTCACAGACAGGTCAGGTGGCTCTGTTCTCTGCTCCTGCAGTCTGTAGCTGTTGGGGAGAAGCAGGAGCGAGACTGGCTGTGGGAAAGAGGCTCGAACCTCCTGTTGCTGTAGGGCTGCTGGTGTCACTGTGGACAGAGACTCCTACCACCCCTGCCAGGGAGTCCCTGCCGTAGGGTCTCAGCCCCTTACCCAGGAAATGACCCCTGGTTGACTGGAATCCAAGGCCCTTTGGACTGTGTACTGAGTCTTCTCAATCATCTGTGTAAAAAACAACAGTGACCCTCCCTGACAGGAGCTTGGTGCTGTTTTCTTGCAAGTCTCTGAAATGGCCTCAAGTATCTTAGCAGTCTGTGGCTCATCCCTCTGTTGGCAACAGTAACTCTTCTTGCCTTCAGCCAGGGGGAGTCTGTGTGGGAGACGGGAACCTGTGTTGACCCCACAACTAATTTATTCTGTGACCTGAAGACAAAAGACAATTCTAAAGCTTCAGATCTAAAATGTAACAATAAACCATAAAATAAACTAAAAGCTGAAATTAAAAATGATAGGCCAGCCTTTAGAACTACTTTATAGGGTTCTTAATATCTCAAATGATGTGGAGACTGTGAAAACACTTGGAAAATCATGAAGTGAGAAATTGCTGTAAGATATTATGACTAAAATTGCTTGTCTAGTGCCACTGTAAGACTATAATGTAATCAAACTAGGAAGGGATTGACCTATAATTTAACAAGACTAAGAGGAGACCGATATTAGGGCTCAAAACTGATTTTTGTTCCATTTTAGAAATCGAAGAAAATTTGTAATTTCTAAATTCTGTATTTGGCATAGGGAACCTTTTCTAATGTTCTGTCAGCTGATGACTGTGAGCAGAGACTTAGAACCTTGCCTGACAGGTATTAGAAATAACAAAAGTATCTCTCTCTTGTTGAGCCCTTGCTGGGGCTGGCTTAGGTGCACACTTTATACACAGTCTTCCATTTGTTCTCTTGTCCCCTCCCCACTTGGAAATGAGGACACTTGGGAAACAGGGAAGTTAAGCAACTTGCCCAGGGGGGCAGAACAAGCTAGAATTTGAACCCAGGTCTGCCTTACTCCAGAATTCATGATCTTCCCTCTTAAGCAGTTGCGAGGATTAAATATGTAAAGTGTGTATGTCAAACTGATCATATTGGCATTAAATAATGAAGATGTAAAAATCAGTATCTCTTTATTAACCTAAACCCTAAACTTTGGTTATAAAGTCTCATTTGCTTGTTTGACACTTTTCAACAGTGTTTTAAAATGTGCCGTAAAATCTCAGAAAATCTTCTATAAGGATTTGATATTAAATAGAATTCATTATATTCTGAACAGACTACCCACTGTTTAGTGAAGCTCCGAATTTTGCTGATCAGACTGGCGTGTTTGAATACTACATGAATACTGAAGACCATGGGGAGCATCGCTTCACGCTACGCCAGGTTCTCAATCAGCGGCCCATTACGTGGGCTGCGGATGCGTCCAACACCATCAGCATTATCGGAGATTACAACTGGTACGTATTTCTTAGTGTGAATCCAACTGAAATAACCTTGTCATGTTGTGGGGTACATTCTGAAACAAAGCCTTTTCTGCAGTCCTCCTTGTGCAAGAACCTAATAGTGCGTGACAGGAGCTGAATGAATATCAGGGCGGCCACTAAGAAGATTGCTTTGCTGCGTCAGCTTCCTTCCCTCAGATTTGCTGTTTAATAGTGATTATTGCAGCAGCCGACGATTTTAACTAAAATTGAGGACTTTCGGACCCAGTAACAATTTAATATTTACAGACTTCCTGATAATTTGAGTGTTGTGTTTTTTTTGGTTTGTTGATCTGGTGTTGCCACCTGCTGGATTTACACTAGAATTACACCATTTTAGCCTTTGCGGAGCATCTGTTTACCAGGTGACAGTAGGTGGCAATGGTAAAGAGCTACATTAGCTTTTAGTTGTATAGTGAATTCAACTCTTTTCTTTAGGCATCTGGTAAAGAGACAAGTTGTACTTACTCTTTATGTAAAATATAACGACCAAACCAAAACTTCCCCTTCCCTCTTTAAGTCAGCTATGGAATTCCAGTGTATTGGCGATTATGCCTGTTGTAGGTGGGGTTTTTCCTTCTGTTTTTTCTTTTAGCTACTATAATTTCACGGTGAAACATAAACACAAGCCTTCCAGGTTTAGTGATACTAGCTATTAATGCCAAGCCACCAAATAGTCATGACTGTAGTTCAGAATTGGACAGGGCCAGGAATATAATTCTGAAAAGAACCTGAATTGTGTATCTGGAATGCTGCAGAAAGCCTTTACCCCTCTGTATGGCCTCTTTTCTGTTGTAAATCACAATTCTAGACCCAAGCTCCATGTGTCTTGAGAAACTGTTAGCTCTCCAGAGTTTCTGGGACCCTGACAGCAGGGGATATTAAACACTGGTATGAGTTTCCCACACCCACCTTATGGCAGAGGTATCATCCTCCCAGCTTACAGATTGGGAAACTGAGGCTTTGGGGTAAGATTTACCCATGATCCCACACTTGTAAATTCTAGGACCAGGCTGAGAGGCCACATCTCTCTGGTTCTGTATCCCATGCTCTTTGGACCAGACCTCACAGCCTCGTTTTCATCACTCTTCCTAAGAGTGGGAAAGGGAACATTAGTGAGCTTCCACTGTAGTTCAGTGTTAGCGACTCGGCTCTCAATGTGTGCACAGGGCCCTCGGCTCATAGAACTGTTTGCAGTTGAGCTTCCTCTCTCATGCTTACGCGTAGTGAAGGACCAGCGCAGTCCTGGAGTAGACCACAAAGGTACTTAAGATTTCCCACTTTGTTAGCTTTGGTTGGGATCTGAAGACCGTCACAGTTGCCTTTTGCTGCGCACATCCGAACTCTTCATCCCTTTGATTAAATTTGCTTCCTTTGTGGGCTGGTTTCAGTTCTCTCAGCACCACTGAGAGATTGTGGCTATGGAACTAAACCACAGTTATTCTGCTTCGTTCATTATCTGTGAAATTGCCTGGAAGTCCTGGGGCAGGACTCACTTATTGAGGAATGGGATGTAAAAGAAAGGAAAACGTTCGATCTTCTCTCACTCTAACTCTAAACAGAGTGATTTATGGTGCTGACAGTGTCTAGCATTTTCAAACTCTGCTAACCAGGCAAGGGGTGGGGCTGTAGGAACGTGTGGTCCTCAGTGGCTTCGTGCTGGTGATACTCACTGTGGGGGGGGCATACGAGAGAGACCCAGCCTTCGTTCCTTAGCGTTCGATTTTCCTGAGAGTAGCCCAGCTCTGATTAGATTACCTGTGGGTTTCCCTTACTGTCTATACCTGTTGTAGGTGCTTCATTTTTTAATATTTTCATTTCCATAGTTAAATTCCGCTGTGAAGATTTTACTGATAAGAAGAAACTCTGAGAAATGTAAAAGCCACATAATTCTAGATCCAGTTTTCCCCTATTTCCAGTGTATTTTTGGGCACCCTTAGTTTTTATTCTAGATAAATTGCTCGCTTTATGACTTGGCTGTGTCAAGGCTTTCATTCTCATTCGCAGTTAGATTTTGGGTGGCAGGGAGATTGTTTTTAGAGATCCTGTTGTTTTGAGGTGGTCCTCTCACTGCATGGGCATCTAGTAACATTTATAAAAGGCCTGGAGGGGAGCTCGTGTCTGACCCCTGGTGGCTCCTGGTGGCTGGATCTGTCCCCTCCTGTGATAAACTTCTGTCCATCATCAGTGATCCCAGGACCAGGGTTTTACTGCCTGTGCGTAAGCAGAGGTTGTCAAGCTGGAATTCCCAGGCTAGCAGCCTCAGCATTACCTGGGAATCTGTTAGACAGCAGATTCAAGGTCCTGCCCTTGACCTGCTGGATTGAACAAGCCCTCCAGGTGCTGCTCAAGTTTGAAAATCCCTGCTGTAGAATCATGGAGTTGGCTCTGTCTTTGCAGAGAAATGGTTTTCTTTTAGATTTTTTTCTGGAGTTTTTTAGGTCTTATCAGGGTTTAATGTAAAACTTCACCCTCAAGTCGTTTACGCTTTCCCAGAGACTCCTACCATTGCCCTTGCTGCTCATTTTTGCTGGTGGAAATGTAATTAACCTTTTTTTTGTTCAGAATTGTGTGGAAACTTACCTTTTATGCATTCCTAGAAAAAAATGGCTTCTTTTAATATTATATATTCTTAGGATGAGAAGTTGTTTTATTACAGAGAGACAAGAAATATATTCTTAAGAAACTTAGTAACAGTAAGTATTCTTTTCTAGTAACTCATTAAAAGAGGCAATGAAATGACTTATTCATGTAAACTTAAAACCATCATCAATGAAGACCCTCGAAGCCCATTCCTGCCTGCTACAAGCATAGACTTAGCAGATCACACAGTCACCTCAGTTAGGAGTTTGGAAGGATGTGGCTGTGAAAGGACGCCTCATGCTACACAGGGAAGGGCATGATTAAAGCCTAACCAGCCGTTTCATTCTGCAGGCCCAACAGGACTATCATGTGTGATGTCTACATGGAGGCCCCTGGGAATGGCATCATTAAAAGTCTAACCAGCCGTTTCATTCTGCAGGGCCAACAGGATTATCACGTGTGATGTCTACATGGAGACCTCTGGGAATGGCATGATTAAAAGTCTAACCAGCCGTTTCATTCTGCAGGACCAACATGACTATCTCGTGTGATGTCTACATGGAGACCCCTGGGAAGGGAGGCGTGTTCATTGCCGGAAGAGTAAATAAAGGTGGCATCTTGATTAGAAGTGCCAGAGGAATTTTCTTCTGGATTTTTGCAAATGGAACCTACAGAGTTACAGGTGATCTAGGTAAGTGATTTACTCTATGGCACACGCGAGAGAGGCAACTCAGTAAAAGAGAACATTGCATGAAGCTTTTTCGGGTATTACAGAGGAGAGCTGGCTGTCAGGGTGGGATTTGCATGGACTGGGGTGAGGGTGGCAGTAGGGAGAGAGTGCTCAGGAGACATTGTAAATAAGACAAGACTATAAGAATGTGGCCGCTGTGCTCGTGGGAATGCAAGGAGAGGGGTTGCTGTGCTTAAAATGGAGTAATCCTATTTCCTAATCTAGTTAATAACTTGAAAACAGCTTGACTCCCTTCATTTGTCTTAACAGCCCCTGTTTTATGTAGGATAGTGTCTTATCTAGAATGGGTGCTTAGGCTAAGTTCAAGTTGAATTCCATGCAATCCCCTTTGGTTTTTGGACACACACTGCTCTCTTGAAACTAGACCTTATGGTGGTGACTCTTCTTGGTTCTGTCTCCTGACTTTCCTCCTGTGTTAACAAAAATCTTCTCGCCTATAGTCTGCTGCTCTTTGTCTCTTCCTAAGGTGAAAAGGGCTCCATAAGTAAAATAAAAATGAAAGAGGAAGTGGGTAGTAAGGACACTAGAGTAGAAATTGCATAGTCATAAGCATGACTGATCTAGAAGGTACCTCACATTTTCCAATCCAAATCAGAGCCAGAGAGGTTAACTGATTCGCCCAAGGTCTCAAAATGAGTTAGTGGCAGAACTGGAACTAAGAATTTAAATCTGCGTCTTCAGTCTGCACTGCTGTATTTTAAATTGCCCCCTTGGCACCTCATCCTGCATGTTTCTCAGGCACTCAAGCATAATACATCCCCAGATGAACTCATTATTTTCTCGCTCTGATTTTCAGTGATTGCTGGTGCCATGTAATCAATTACACCAGCTAGAAATCTTACGGTAGTTTTTTAAATTCCCCTGTTTATCCCCCACATTCAGTCCAGTCAGGTAAAATTACACTCCGGAACTATAGAAGCTAATGCATTATACTGTGGTTGGTTTGTAAGTTCATGTCTCTGATTCTCTTGTGAGCTCACATATAGTGTGTGGTCCAGAGTGGGATCTCAATATGTGCTTGTTGAACGCGTGCATGAATGAAGGATGTTTTGTTTTAAGTCAGTTGTAGATCTGGAAATGTGGATCTTTATTAAGGTCGACTTTACTACATGCAGATGCCACCTGAGAGACCCCAGTGGGGTATGTGATTTTGTGATTCAGATAATCTTTCTCTGTTGCAGCTGGATGGCTCATATATGCTTTAGGACAAATTGAAGTTAAGGCACAAGAATGGTATACACTCACTTTAACTATTAAGGTAAGTATTGCTGATCAGAATGTCTGGAGGTAAGACGTTCTTTCCCTGTCCCTTTTTACCATTTCTCTTAACAGATGGAGGCTGGGGAGTGTGATAAATAATGGAAGTAGGCAGAAAATCTGCCATCATACCAGCAAACCACCACTCCCTAGAATGATAGTGTGTGTCAGGGTCCTCCATTAGCTGTTGACTTTATCAGCCCAATAATTGAACTGCTTTTCCAAGTTTGCTTGAATGAAGATTATAATTGGAGCTTATAGGTGTAAGCAAAGTCACTAAATTTATTTTTGATGGTTGAATATAATTTGGTTTTCGGCTGTAAGCACCCTACTTTAGAGGTCGGTTTCCATGAATGTGTGTGTCAGAGCAGATACCAGGTTAATCATAGTACCACGAGTGTCTAAGAATATTTGTCAGATTCATTGATTGACCATGCGTTGTTGATTGACATGCTCCTAAGGAGACATTCTTCTGGAATTCAGATAACTTTTTGAATTTGTTCTACCCCCTGACTCAACCACCAAAAATGACAGGACTGATTTTTCAGGCAGTATCCGTATGTATTGACCATCATAGCATATTTAACTATACCACACTCGATGGACATAGCTTTGTTCCCAGTTCTTTCCTTTTATGGAAAGGAGATGCCTTTACTGCAGATGAGGGAGAAGATCTTTATGTGCCTCTTGGGTGCACACATTCTATTACTTGTTTAAGTGGATATTGGAAGGAGAATGGCATTTAAAATTTTAACAGATCCTGCCCTATTACTAGCTGAACGACATCAACTTTTGTAGCAGTTATAATAATATTTGATGTTATTGAGTTTTAAAGATTTTTTTCCAAACAGATAGACACGATTTTGTATTTCCTTGATATTTAGGGAGGGTGTACATTTTATGTGTATTGGCCGTATGAATTTATTATATATTCTGGGTAGTGCCCCATTGTTTGTTATATGTATTACATATATTTTCTTCTGTTTTCTTATGATTTGTATTTTAGTTTTGCTTATGGTATGTTTCATGACTAGAAATGTAAAATTTTGGTATTGTCAAGTATTTCACTTTTTCTTCATTTGTTCTATGTTTTGCTTAAGGAGGCCTTCCCTTTCTTTGGGTTAGGAACATTTTTTTCCCCCAAACAAAGTTTAGGATGTGTTTTATGTTTAAGTCTTTAACCCACCTGGAATTTATTTGTGAATTGTAAGGTGAAGAGCCCAATATAATTTTTTTAAAAACAAATGGATAGCTATCATCATTTATTACACAGATTGTCCTTTGGCTCATGATTTAAAGGCCACTTTTTTGATGTTATAAATCATCACACATGCATGGGCTTGTTTCTCTGTTCTCTATATCCCTCTGTTTGTCCTTTATCCAGTGTCACACTTTAAATTGTGTTTACTTTCTAAGTCTTTGATCATGTGGTTTACTCCTTTACTGCCATCAGAGCTCCTTCCCAATCACCTTATATAAAATAGCGTTCCCTCTTCCCTTGCTCTGTTTTTCTTCAGAGCTCTTATTACCTCCTGACATCGTGCATATTCTGTTGATAGTTTATGTGTTAGTCCCATTCCCTGCACTGGAACATAGCTTCTGCAAACAGGCCTCTTCCTTCCTGTTTCTGTCACTGCTGGCTCTCAGCACCTAGGAGAGCACCTGGCACACACACTCAGAGAGTGGATGAGTGGACATCCAGTGGGCATGTCCCACGTTCTTTTGCAAGATTATCTTTGCTATTCTAGTATATATACTACTCTATTTGAATTAAAAAAAAAATTTATTGATTTCAGAGAGAGGAATGGGGGGGGCAGAGAGAGAGAAAGAAATATCAATGATGAGCGAGTCACTGATCGGCTGCCTCCTGCATGCCCCCTGCTGGGGATGGAGCCGGCAACCTGGGCATGTGCCCTGATCAGGAATCGAACAGAGATCTCCTGGATCATAGGTCGATGCTCAACTGCTGAGTCACACTGGCTGGGCTCTACTTGAATTTTTAAATCATTTTTGCAATACCATGAAGAACACTGCCAGTATTACACTGAATTTAGATATCGATTTGGGCAAAAGTGGCTTTTTTTTTTTTTTAAATTAAGAATAATGTGTTCCCCTGTTGGGACTGTGGGAACAAGAACATGCTGCGTCTCAGCATTTATTAAGATCTCCCACCCTGTCCGTCAGTTTTATTTTTTTAGCTCTTACAGATTTCTCGTTAGGCTTATTTTTCATAATTTTATACATTTTTTGAATTCATGAGGGGCTTTAAAAAATTAATTTCTTTGACCTTTTTTAGGTACTTTGCATCACAGGATTCAAAAATCAGAAGGGCTTCTGAAAACAGCTGCCTCCTGCCTCCCTCCCTTGTTCCTTCCTCCTCACCCCATCTGTGTCCCGTTCCTCTGATGCAGCCACTGTGACGATTGTCATTGTTGCTTCTGGCATCTCTTTAATACGGTGTGATTTATTGCTTTTAGAAATTAGCTCTGGTCTTGCTGCTGGATGGATGGGGATTTTGCTGACTTATCCCCCACCCACCTCCACCAGCCCCATTTTTTTTTGGTTCCATCTGCTCTGGGCATTCTGCTCCTTCCTCGAGTCTCAGCTCTGAAAGTTCTCCTACTCTGCAGACGAGAGGAGTTTCTCTGGCATGCACACCACATCAACCTGTCTCACCTCTGCACCTGCCACTCACGCTTAGCTTGTGTGTGTGTGTGTGTGTGTGTGTGTGTGTGTGTCCTTCCTTGTCTTTCCACCGGAATGTAAGCTCCAGAAGATCAGGGACTGTGTCTTTCTTGTGCATCCAAATTCCAAGTGCATTAAACAGCATTTGGTGCATAGATGTTTGCTGTGTAACAAAATAGAACCACGTCTTCTCTGACGTCTGTTTCCAGATTACGGCCCATATGAGGATTTTCCTCATTTTAATTTGGCCACTTTTGATTTCTTCTCAGCACTGCTGGGTGCTTTACCCTCAGCACTGTGTGTCGTGTTTAGAACAAGGGACTTCGAGGTCTGTTATGTTCATTTGCAAGTACTTTATGTTGCTTGTCTTCTGTCTCCCCATCCATATCGTGAGCGCACCGCCTTCCTATGAAGATGAAGTGGGACGATATACATGAAACCTTGGTGCATTACCTGACATCTGGGAAGCACTGAATGAGCCCAGTTAACATTCTTAGGAGCAGGCGTGTGTGGAACCAGACAGGCCAGCACTCCTATTACCTAGCTGATACACACCGAGACTTCCAGCAAGCTATCTCGCCTTTCTGAGCTGCTTTTTTAAATCTGTAAAATGGAGATAACTTCTGTAAGGTTGCTTTAGGGTTAAATGTTTTTTATTCTTTCACTTGACACATTTTTACTAAGCATTCACTATATGCACTTTTCTAGGGATACAGCAGGGAACGAGACAGACCAGTTCCTGCTCTCATAGAGCCTCTATTCTTCTAGGACAGGGGCTGGCGAACTTCTCTGCAAAGGGCCAGATAGCAAATGTTTTCTCCTTTGTGAGCCGTGTGGTCTGCGCTGCAACAGCTCAACTCCGCTTTTGCAGTGAGCCGCACAGTAGGTCAATGAATGGGTGTAGCTGAGCTCCAGTAAAATTTCATTTGTAAAAATAGGTGGCTAGCCTGTGGGCCATAGCTGGCTGACTCCTGTTCTTCAGACAGTGAACTTTTAGATAAATCAATAAATAAAATTATGAAGGAAAAATAGGGATAATGATATAAAGTAGCTCCCTTGCTGAGATTTCCTAGATAGAGAGGCCAGGCAAGACCTTGGAGTGGGTGCTGTTTGAGCGGAGGGTGCCCCGGGACTGGCCTTGTGGAGGAGCAGCCAGGCTGGGTTGGCTAATGCCTGGGGAGTGAGGGGCCGGCGGAGGGGAGGAGATGAGGGACTGCTAGACAGGCGTTGTGCTTAATATTTTTTGTGTATGTGAGTCCCTGGGCTCAGCGTTAATATTCACTGTCCCTAAGTGGCAGAAGATGTTCATTGGGCACTTTTGGAGCTGAGGTAGCTGTGCGTGTGCAGTAGTAATAGGGGTGGATGCTGACAGCTAGGATTCAATTCCTAGCTCTGCTGGTAAATCTTGACTTTGATTTTTAATCTCAAGTCTGAGTATCTCCATATGTAAAATGAAAGAACTAAATTGAAGTCCATTGCATCATACAACTTAAAAACATTTAATTTTAGTTCTTGCCTCATGCTTGGGATCTTCAAGTTCTTTGAAATGAGCTCATTAGAAATGTTTAGCTGTAATTGCATGCTGTGAATGTATGCTCATGAATGTGCTATGATAGTGATAATAAGAGCAAGCTAGTGTCTCCTCACTGTGCACCAGGTGCTTGGCTAAGGAGGAATGGCAGCCATATGGAGAGGGCATTGCTTTGTCTTCCTCTGTCAGTGACCACTAAGTCATTCCTATGGACACGTCCCTCCTTCCCCCCCCCATCATCGCCTGTGGTTACTGTTTTTCTGACGTAAGGCTGGGATCTTTATATGGCTTCAAAGTGATATTCTGTACATGGGGCAGAAAGGGCTGAAATACGTGGACATTCTGGCTCCAGCAGCCACGTCTGAAGAACCGGTGGTTGTGAGCCCCGGCCTGTGCACGTGAGCCACTTGTAAATAAGCGTTTTTTATTTTAGTGGGCTCTTGTCTAAAATGCTGTAGTAATGTTTTGAAAAGTTTCACATTTCTGTTGGTTTTACAACACTTTAGTGAAGTCCAAGGAAATACTGAGATATTCCTTGTGCCTCAGAAACTGGGGACATTGTTCCTGTATTTCAAACTTTTGTTCTAACCTGTGGAATTGCTTTCCTGAGTAAGTCTTAGGTGAGGAGGCTATTTGCTCCACTAAGCAGATATTTGGGCCGCATGTTTTTAAGAAACAGACTCCAGAGAGTTGTTTCCATGTGTCTCCAAGGGATGCCTTTCTCTCCCCAGGGTCAGCTCTCCTTTGGCTTGTTGAATGGCAAGCCTGTCTGGTCAGAGATCCCGGTCAACTTCCCCAAGAATGGCTGGGCTGCCATTGGAACTTACTCCTTTGATTTTGCGCAGTTTGACAACTTTTACGTCAATTCCACACCCTAAAATTCACAGAACACTGCACAACACTCTTTGGATTCTTTATTTCTTTCTCTTTGGTTTTGGTTCAGAGCCAGTTCTTGTTTCGATGGATTGGTATATGAGCCTTTGGAGGCTGAAAATAAGAGTAAATGAAGAGGAAAGATATTTTTTACTTGATCATGTGGAAGATTTTTTTTAGAACTAATTCCAAGGGGAGAAACAGATGACTCTTTCGCATCACCTGGTGTGTACCCTACACTTGAAACAGTACCTTGGTCCCACCCTTAGGAGTGCTTTGGGTGGTCCAGACCTAGAGGCCTTGGTGTAGATGCTGAGGTCACTCCTGTCTTCTTATTTGCAAGTGATCATGCAGGTGGCAGTAACTTGATTGCCACAGAGACGTATTTATTGACGCTCATGTGTGTCTAAGTGAGCTGATGCCCTTGTCTCAAGATAAAGCTGTCGCACTGGGAAGCTGAAGAACACTGGAGAGGCTGCTCTGTGAAGACCACTTCAACGTGTTACTCTAAAACAGTATTTTTTCTTTCCTGTTTTATGATGATGCTTTTGAATTATAGATGTGATGAGTGGGATGATTTGAAAAATGTATCATTAACAAACTACCTCTAAAGCTATTTCTGCAATAATAAATAATAGATTAATTGGGTTATCTGTGTTTTTTATTCTTTTGGATCCAACTTTTAGTCGTATAACCCTTATAACTGTGTTTACAAGTTTTCCCAGGTGGTTGGAAGGAGGGAGAAAACACCCTATAGCCAATGCTGTAAGTGGGTCTAAGATGAAACTGAAGGAGATTTTCTTGTCTCCTTTCATTGTGCTTTTCCTGGTTTGTCTTCTCATGTGTCACTGGTAACAGACTAAAAGAGCTAATGAATTCTTTTACCTGCTTGCATGCAGAAGAAGGGGAACACTTAGCTGTTTGCTAGTTCATAGCATTGGATCATCCTCTAATATTTTGTGTGGTTGGATGCATTTATTTCATTAAACTACCAATGCACTTATGTTTAAGTATGGGGTGAGCATATTTGCCATGCAGTATGATTTATATTTAAGAATTAGTGTACCTCCTAGAAACAACTCAGTTATTCATGTGGGTAAAGTAAATTCTGGAATTCTTTATAATGAAAGTGTAAAGCTTCAATGAACTGATTTTTCAATTTTGGAATTTGTAATGGTGTTATATAGGCTAAACTGACATGAAATTTTGTATTAACTATAAAACACAAGAAACAATATTAGAATAAATCACAGAGAAAAAGTTATATATAAATTTTAAATTAAAACCAAGCCTAAGTGATTTCCATTTCGGTCCCCACATATTTTTTAAAAATTAACTTTACCCGAGGTATAATTTACATATAATAAACTGTTCTCATTGTAAGTATACCGTTCAGTGGGTCTTGATAAAAGGGCGCATCCATGTAACCAGCACCCCAAACAAAATTCCAGACATTTCCCTCACTCCGGGAGGCTCTCCTGCGCCTGTGCAGCTCTTCCCTCTCCTCCCCGCCTCCGGCAGCGTCCATCTGATTTCTGTCACCCCTGATGCGCTTGCTTTGTTCCCAGACACTGTAAAGCGGCACCATGCGCTGTGCACTCCCTTGTGAATGGCTTATCTCATTCAGCGTAATGCTCTTGAGATTTGATGACGTTGCTGTGTGTCTCAGTGGTTTGCCCCTTATTTCAGAGAGCGTTCCCTTGTCTGGCTAGACCACAGGCAGTGCTCCCAGTTTTTGGTTTTACTAATGAAGCTTCTGTGAACATTCGTGGACAAGTCTCCGTATGGACTGAGTTTTCATTTCTTAATTGCTGAGTCTTATGGGAAGTGTAGGTTTAACTTTATGAGAAGCTGGCCATCTGTCTTCCGAAATGATTGCAGGGTTTTACACCCCCATCGGCAATGTTTGAGAGTGTCAGTTGCTCCACATTTTTGTCAGTGCTTCATATTGTTGGTGTTTATAATTTTAACCCTCTCTTGTGGGTGTGTGGTAGGTGCATTAGATGTTGAGCACCTTTTCATGGGCTTAATTGTCATTCACATATTTTCTTTTGTGAAATCTCTGTTCAAGTCTTTTTCTCATTTTAAAAATTGGGTTGTCTATCTTATTGAGTTGTAAGAGCTGTTTATATATTCCAGATGCAAGTTTCTTTTCTTTTTAAAAAAAATATATCAGGTGTATATTTTATGAATTGTTCTAAGTCCATATCTTTTGAAGTCACGATTTTAATTTGGGAGTCTAATTTAGGACTTTTTTCTTTTATGGTAGGTGTCTTTTTTGTGTCCTAAGAAACTTTTGTCTATCCCACGTTTACAAGGGTTTTTTTCCTTTTAGTTCTTCTAGAAGTATTATGTTCCTTAGCTTTTACATCCATGTCTGTGATCCATTGTGCATTATTTTTTTGTATATAATGAGAGGGCTGAGGTTCATTTTTTTCCCTTTTTGGATATTCAGATTTTCTAGCATTGTTTATTGAAAAGACCATCCTTTGTCAAAAGTCAATTGACTATAAATGTGTATGTCCAGAAATAAACTCTATATTTTGTTCTATTGATCTATAGATCTGTAGACAAACACCACCCTGCCTTCATTACTGTAGCTCTGTAGTAAATTTTGAACTCCATTTAAATCCTCCAACTCTGTTCTTCAAAACTGTTTTGGTTAACCTAGGTCTTTTCACATTTTTCGTATAAATTTTAGACTCACCTTATATATTTCTGCAAAGGGCTTTCTGGAATTTTGATTGGATTATAATGAAATCACAGATCATTTTAGGGAGAATGGTTATCTTAATAATATTGAACCTTCAATCTATGAGTCTGTTGCATTTCCACATTTTTTGGCTTTCCATAATTTCAGCAACTTATGTAGCTTTTAGTGTACAGTTTAATACTATTGTAAATGGTATTTTCTTATTTCATTTTTCAATTATTTGTTGTGTATACATCAAAATACAGTTGCTTTTCTTATGCTGACCTATTATTTTATGATATTGCTAAACTCACTTATTAGTTTTACTAGCCTGTTTTTTTTTTGTAAATTCTTTAGGATTTCTACATACAAAATAATGCCATCTGTGGGTACAGAAAGTTTTAGTTCTTCCTTTCCTTGTGTCTGCTTTATTTCCGATGTTGCTTTGTTGCACTAGTTGGGATTTCCAGTACGATGTAAGAAGTGGTCAGAGCAGATGTCTTTGCCCTGTTCCTGATCTTAGCATCAAAATATCTTTCACTATTAAGTATCATTAAGTGTGACGTTTGCTCTAGAGGTATATGGCTACTGGTGATCATGAATTGTATTTCTTGAAGCCGACCAAGCCAAGCCTCCGGATGAAAACACTCTAAACCGCCAGAGTTCCTTCACACGCTGCCCATTACAGCATGCCACAGACTGGGCCGCTCATAAACAGCGAGCATCCTCGCCGAGACCCCACGGGGTGGGAGGTGCTAGGCAGCTCTCTGGTTCCTCTTTTATGAAAGCACCAACCCCCATCACCATTCACGGGGGTCCACCCTTCCAGAGGTCCCACATCCTAATGCCTCACCCTGAGCGTTAGGATTTCAACACGAGGGACACAAACATTCAGACCACAGCACACACCTAAAAGTGACGCCTGGAGAGGCACCGTGGTAGGAGTACTGAGCCTGGGCCCTCACGCCTGGGTGGGACGCCAGCTCTGCTGCTTCCTCATCTGACTGTGGTGGGATCACAAGGGCCCCCTGCACTTCATGAAGCTGCTGCCTCTAAAGACAAGTAGTGAGGCTGCTCACCGAGGCTCCTCCCAGCTCGCGCTGTGAAATTCTGCTTCATTTAACTCAAATCTTGTTTACGTGAGGGGTAATTTTTTCTAAATCAGCGCGGTTGGTCGTCCTCCCCATTGTCTCCCACCCTGGAAAACCACCATGCAATGCCTTGGACATTTTTACTCTGGCTAAATGGCCTCATCAAGGGTGGTCATTTTGCAACTGATATTTTACTGCATCTTAAGTGATGTAGATGAGCCTAGATCCCATTCTTCTGCATGTGACCTGCTTGAAAAAGACCCTCTTTATCACTGTCCCAGAGCCGCTGGTAGTATTTTCAACTATCATGGGGCCAAGGCATTGGGATAAGTTAGACTGGACTCAAGGTAAGATTTAGAAACTAGAGTTCTGCAGTTTTTACTCGTAAGTGGGTTCTTCCTAACACTTGGTTTTTCTTTTGTCTTGTTAATATGTTACTTTGACTTGAAAGAAAGCCTGGTGTTCCTTGTATGTCAGAAGTGTTATCATTTTGTTATATTCTACTCTGAAAATAGCTCTTTCGAGTAATTAAAGCTCATGGATAAGTTGAAGGTGTTCTAAGATGCCTTTTCCCCCT